TAAATTCAGCTCTATTTATATAACAGGAATCATTTAAAATTGTTCATGCAAAATATTTCAAAGAAAGTTTCAAACCTTAGCTTTGGTACCCTAGGAGTACTAGTATATTTATATTCCTCTGAAACTAAGAGGAATTTTGGAAGAACATTCTAAGAAGCCTCCCTAATGAATTATTCAGTGTAAGTCGAGGCCCTTTCTGAACCCTATCCAGACCACTTAACTATTAAAAATATGGACAAATCTCAGTAGATAAAAACCTCCTCTCCCCATAGCAGGGCAGTACACCTATAGTATATTTAACCTGCCTTAAAGAAGACACATTTCACTTACACGTTGTCACCTCTTACGATGTACAAGCCTAGTACCACTTGTTCCACTCCCTGTGAAGAGCTGAACACTCGTTCATGGCTTTCATCCAAAATCAAATTAATGGTCTGGTCAAAACCTTTCAGTGTTCCCTGTAAAAAGAAAAGTTCAAGTATTCAGGTTTACCTGAATGTGTAAATTTAACCAGACAATAATTTTAGTTGCTAGGTCCTCCTATAGAAATATAAAAGTCCACTGTAAAATATAATTCCTCTTTATAATTAACAATATTCTGGCACAAAACTTACCTCTTGCTTTTTTTTTTTTTTTTTTACTTTTTTTTACTAGATGTTTCCTGCATGGTTTGTCTCCTCAGTCATCGTCCACAGGACTCTGAGAATATGCAGGCGCAGACTCAAGGCCTGGCTTTCTCTCCAACGTTGTGGAAAGGGACTGTACATCACGGGGCAGCACGGTCCCCTACGCCACCTGGACAGAGCCCGGGGAGAGTGACCTCCCGGGGTATCCACGTTGGGCTACCTCTTGCTTTTTTTAAGGGGTAAAAGAAACTACACCACACATTTCATTAGTGTGCAGAGTTGTTTAGACTTACAAAGGACACCAATGTACCAGTGTATTTCCAAGAAAGTAGCAGAAAAGCCCATCCAGGAGCTAACATTCTAAAGACACAAACTAAAACAAGTGAAATTCAAGGGAAAATTATACAAGGCTGGGCAAAAGTAGGTTTACAGTTGCTTATATGGAAAAATATATCATACAAGAATAAACTGTTTTGCATCCTCATGAGTGTAAACCTACTTTTGCCACCCTTGTGTGTGTATATATGTATGGAACCATATATACCAGCTATTGCAATGTAGCAGTATCACTTCATGCAACATACTACTACTAGACTTGTGCCAAACACACTGTACATATTATCTCAACTAATCTTTTCCTTTAAGTACATATATTTATTCCCACTTCAGAGAAGAAAAACCGAGGCACAGGGAGATTAAGTAATCTCTCAAGGTTTCTCAGGTAGAAAGTAGCAGAGCTAGGATGTGAACCATGAAAGGATAGCTTCAAAGACAGAAAAGTGAACTACTATACTACTACGAACAAGCAAATATAATTCACATTCTTAAGAGATTCAGATAAGTCCCATAAAGATGTATAAACTTCATTAGATGTATAACTGTTCTTAAGTTAACACAATAAATGAGTACTTTACTATTTTGCAGGAACTGTTCTAGGGGCCTCACATGCATATAGTTATTCAATCCTCCTATTAACACAATAAGGTAGATACAAACATGACTGCAATAATTAGAACCAGACCTTGAAGGAAATATACAGATAAAGTTTTAATGAAAGACTTCTGATTTTGAATAAGGAAAGATATGAGCATAGCACAGCACAATAACTCGAGGCTATTCAATTTTTTGAAGAAACATTAACTTATATTTGTTTGGTTGTTTAAATCTCTGTAGCTCCCTATTGTTTCATGTTTTGAAAACCAAGATATATAAAATCAGAATGAAATAAAGAGAAAACAAAATATGGAGTACTGTCTATAGTAAACTAATTAGCAAAGTTATCACACACATACCTAGCATTTTGGCTTCATTTTACACATAACTGTTCTATCAAGTGTATCATGCATCAAAGAAATGCAGAACAGCTGAACTTTAGTACTCAAAATGTTGTTTTTAAATAGCTTCCCTTCTTTCATAAAATTAAAATAATTTCCCAATTCACTACATATCCTTTTAACAATAGAAAAATTTAAACTCGATGTTTTTGCAAAACAAAACAACTACTTGCAAATATGTGTTAATAGCAGAAGGCTTCTTGAAGTGTTGAGATTAAAATATTTCAAACTGTCCTTGACAAAATATAAGGTGAGGTGACCTAAAAGAAAACATTATTGTTCTCTTGATTAAGGAAATAAAGCCCAGATTGGATCTGCCACTTGATTACAGGCGACTCTGGGAAAGTGACTCACTTTTTCTGAACTTGGTGCCTAACCTAGAATACAAGGGTAATTCTTCTCACCCAGTTGTCCTGAAGATTAAATGACAATATAATTTAATAAATGGCAAAATCTAAAACTCTGGTAATCTTCTAAGGACCTACTGAGAAAAATCACAAGAATTAAATAGAAAACAAGAAACAAAAGCAGAATGGAAAAATGAGAGATTAAATTATATAAATTAGATATGGTTAGAATATAGAAAGTTTAGTAGCCTTAAAACTTTTTTGAAAGCAAACAGCTGTATGAATTATAAGTGAAGAAATAATTAAATAGCCAAAAATTATAGAATAAATTTCTCAGATCAAGGAAGAGGTCAAGGAGAGAATCCCAAATTTTTCTGGAATTAAAGGGGATACTGTGATAAACAGACACATGAGATTAAATAAATTTAGGGTCAATCATCATAATGTGTCCTACAGAAGAGAGAGGTCATACAACCTCAGAATAGTCAAAGAATATTAGCACCATACACACCTTAAATGTTCCATATATGTAGTATGTTAATCATAAAAAAAGATTCTAAGACGCATACACAAACTTTCAAAAAAATATATGATTATGTAGTGAATATCAGAGCACTGACTGGAAAAGGAAATAAAAATTGGAACAGATAAATATGAAATACAGACAGATATCTGCATACTAGACTAGATGCTCTCTGAGGGCAGAATCTATTATTCACTTTAGCTTTTAGAAGCCTTTAACTTATATTCAAATTTGCTAATAGAGAAAAAAATACTACATTCACAACATAAAAACTTAAAAGTTTCTAACTCCTCCACTTCCTGGTGATGATTAGACAATTAGAAAAGGAAAAAATAGAAAAAGAAAAATCCTTTTCTGTATGTGATCAGGGTAACCTTTCAGGAAAAGAGCAGAGTCACAGGAAAACTGTAATGCAGGTACAGAATAACACTACAGCGCCTAGGCATCACAGGTCAGGGCTCCTACAGAAAACCTTGCAACCAATAAGCCTCCAAGAAAGCAGAGGATGAATGTGCCAAATACTCACCACTATCATCCTCCCATCCGAAGTAATCACAGCAACAGTTCCTGGTAACTGAGTCAAGGAAAGCATTTCGCAGGGAATGCAACCTGAAACCTTAGAACCTGGTGAGGAAGTGGTTGGCATCGCTGGGGGAAAAGGTGACAGAATTGAGAGACAGCTATTCAACACACACACACTACATGCACAACATAAAAACGTGAAGTTTCTAACTCCTTCAACTCCTTGTGGCCATTAGAAAAGGTAGAGACAGAAAACGAAAACCACCGTCCGTATGTGACCAAGCATAACCCGTCTGTCCCAGAGCAGCCGGGATGTGCGGTCCTCTTTCCATCTGGGACCTCGGACTCGGAGCAAGGCACGCCCCCCTCTCCCAGACCTGTGTTCTCATCTCTAAGCCTAACATGGATTCGGGCTCAATTAATGCTGAGTGATTTCCAGCGTGAGAAGGCACTGTCTTCCAGGACGTGGCTTCTGGAATTGAAAAGAAAAGCTGTAATCACAGGAATAAAGGTGCTTTACAGCATTACGTCTTGAGTATTTCACTCCCCCCCACAATGTAGCCTTTCTGCCCCGAGGCTTTAAGACTGTCAACATGCACAGAGCACAGAGCGCTAGGCGACCTCCCGGAGGCTTTCTGAAGTTCCGTGTCCCCTGCGACATTTCCCTTCTATCCACAAAGAGGTTGAGACTTCAGGTGGTAAAGGGGCAGGACAATGAGCAAAGCCCACGAATAAAACAAGTGCAGCCCATGGGTTTACAACAATATCGTCATCGGTAGGATGACTGTTCCTTTTATTCCCAAACTTCACGGCCCAGGCCCTAGGGAAGTAGGAAGGATGAATAAATCGATGACTTCCACAGGCAGGGAAGAGTTCAGAATAATCACATGCCTTAAAGGTTAAAATGAAAACGGCGCCTTGGGCCCACAAGAGCCGCGGGCGCGGGATTGGTGGGTCCCGGATCCTTCACCCCCCGAACCCGGGTCACGCAGTGGCCGGAAGTCCCAACCGCCCGCCGCCTCGGCCCAGGCCCTCTCCGGCCGAGCGTGGGCCTCCCTCACCGCGGCTCCACCAGCGCCGGCGGCGGCCGCCAGAGGATACGGTTGATGTAGTTCTCCAGGGCGGAAGTCATGGTGCTCGGCCGACACTCGGGGCAGCGCAGAGGCGCGGGCGGCAAAAGGAGCTGAAACAGCCCCAGCAGCCCACTAGCCGCCCACAGCAAATACCGCGAGAGTTCCCACACCGTGGCCTCCGCGAATCAGAGACGGAGAAACCAGCCCACCGTACCCGTGAGGCCAAGCGGCGCGAGTTTCGTGCGCGTGCGCAGTAGTTGTCCGCCGATTTCCCGGGTGGTGTTCTCTGAAGCCGCGCGCCGCCGAGGCTGGCGGGTGGCACGGCTCATCGGGGTCGGAGGGGGAAGATGGGGTCGGAGCGTGAAAGTGGGAGAGCGAGGAGTTTCCCAGCGGAGGGAAAGGCGTGGGTGGAAGGTACTAGGGGAAGGTGTTGAGGGAAGACAGGGAAAACGGAATGAGATGAGTGCTGTTCTGTGAAATGTAGGCGCCGGGAGCTGGAGTCCCGCCTTCCCCCACAGGGGCCGACAGTCTTTTGGAAGCTGGATGGCCTGGGACTGAGATAAACACACCGACAAAAAGCAGGTTCGCGTATTCTGCAGTTGCCTCTAAAAGTGCTCCAACTTGGCGGCGTTTTTTATTCACTCATTTTAAGAAATTGAAGCCAGATTGGAAAAGGTGTGTGAGACTCCCTTAGGAGCTATGGCTTTATTTATTTTTTTTATTTTTATTTTTTATTTTTTACAAAATCTCTGATTTCAGTTAGGCTTGTGATTCCTTAACTGAAGAAGAATTGTGGGTTTGAAATAACTCTTGCAGTTTTCTTCTGAAAAGTGAAGCATCTGTTTTCATCACAGCGTTCCCACAAAATTGTCTGCAGGTCACTCCCAAATGGTTAATATTTCATATACTAAAACGTACTGTGATCTGTTCGAAACCACATATAACCAGGAACACTTATGGTACATGTAATAGGACAGGCACTCTGTTAGGGCAGTTGCAGCGAGAGCAAGGCAGTCAGTGCCGCTGGTGGCTCCAGGCACAGGGGCTCGCCAGCAGCTGTGGAGCCTGCGAGCTCCACTCTGTTGTTTGACACCGGTGTCCGCAGGGGCCCAGCTTTCCTGTGTGCCTGGGACATGCTGTATGGCTGGCTGTGTAACTTCTGCATCTTGTCCTCCGGCCTCTCTCACGATTATGTGAGCTACTCAATATCCTTTAATAAATTCCTTTTCTGCTTAGATCAGCTCAAGTTTGTCTCTGGCTTCAGACTGGCAACCAAGAATTTTGACTTAGGAATGTTCTGGTAGTGCAGTATTACTGAGCTACAGTGACCTTAAAATATTCTTTTGCTCATTTAGCTTCTAAATTTTTTAAACTAAAAATAATTTTAACTAAACCCTCTTCATACAAGTCTACTTTAAAATTCTAAAGTTTTGTATCATGATTTTACTAATTACAACGAATGTAATTTCTGCCACATAGTTGTTTTTGTGCTTTAAATATATTTTCATTAAAATCTTGGAGCTACGGATTTGACACATCAGTTATGGCAAAACCTATACCCATGATCAAACCCATCAGCTGACTTCATTTTTTCTTTTCAAAAAATGTTTACCTTATTGTTGACAGTATTACAGATGTCTCCCATTTTCTCCCATTATGCCCCCCCACTCACCTAACCCTCTCCCCACCCCAGGCCTTCCCCTTTCTATTATCTGTGTCCATGGATTATGCATATATGTTCTTTGGTTAATCTCTCCCCCCCCCCCCCACCACCCCCCTAAGTGAAATCTGTAATTCTGTCCAGGCATCCATACCTCTGCACTTATTTTTTTCGTCAGTTTATTCTGTTCTTTAGTTTCCCCTTATAAGTGAGATCATGTGATATTTGTCTTTCTCTAACTGGCATACTTCGGTTAGCATAATAGTCTCCAGTTCCATCCATGCTGCCACAGCTGCATAGTATCCCATTGTGTAAATGTACCACAGCTTTTTTTTAATCCACTCAGCTACTGTTTCCAGATCTTAGCTATTGTAAATTGGGCTGCTATTAACTTAGGGGTGCATATATTCTTTCTGATTGGTGTTTCAGGATTCTTAGGATATATTCCCAGAAGTGGGATTGCTAGGTCAATGGTTCCTCTTTTTGAGGAACCTCCATACTGTTTTCCACAGTGGCTGTGCCAGTGAGCATTCCCACCAGCAGGGTTCCCTTTTCTCCACATCCTCACCAGCACTTGTTGATTTATTGATGGTAGCCATTCTGGTAGAGGAGAGGTGATACCTCATTGTAGTTTTAATTTGCAACTTTCTGATGATTAGTGACATTGAGCATTTTTTCATGTGTCTGTTGGTCATCTGTATGTCCTTTTTGGAGAAGTGTCTATTCAGGTCCTTTGGCCATTTTATAATTGGATTGTTTGTCTTCCTGGTGTTAAGATGTATGAGTTCTTTAAATATTTTGGACATTATTCCCTTATCAGATGTATCATTGGAAAATATTAGTTTCCCTTTTCATTTTGTTGATGGTTTCTTTTGCCATGCAGAAGCTTTTTAGTTTGATGTAGTCCTAATTGTTTATTTTTTCCTTTGTTTCTCTTGCTCTAAGGGATGTATTGGTGAAAATACTGCCATGTGAGATATCTGAGATTTTACTGCCCATTTTTTCTTTTAGCATTTTTATGGTTTCATGATTTACATTTAAGCCTTTTATCCATTTTGAGTGTATTCTTGTGTATGGTGTAAGTTGGTGGTCTAGTTTCATTTTTTTCATGTACCTGTCCAATTTTCCCAACACTATTTACTCCATTGTGTGCCCTTACCGCCTTTGTCAAATATTAATTGAGCATGATGGCATGGGTCAATTTCTGATGTCTCTGTTCTGTCCTATTCTTGTGCCAGTACCAGGCTGTTTTGATTACAATGGCTTTGATATATGATATTGTGATCCCTCCAACTTTGTTCTTCTTGCTCAAGATTGCTGAGGTTATTTGTTTTTTTGTTGTTGGTTTTGTTTTTCTGTATATATTTTGGAATATTTGTTCTAGATCCGTGAAATATGCATTGGTGGTTTAATAGGGATTGTATTGAATCTGTAGATTGCTCTTGGTAGGGTGGACATTTTAATGATGTTAAATCTTCCAATCGATGAACAAGGTATATGCTTCCTCTTTTTTTAAATGTCTTCCTCTATTTCCTTTTTCAATGTCTTATAAGCTTTCCAAATACAGGTCTTTTACATCCTTGGTTAAGTTTATTCCCAGGTATCTTATTTTTGTTGTTGTTGCAATGGTAAGTGGGATTGTTTTTTTATTTTCTCTTTCTGAGGGTTATTTATTGGTGTATAAAAATGCCATTGATTTCTGGGTATTAATTTTGTATCCTGCTACTTTGCCAAATTTATTTATTAAGTCTAGCAGTTTTTTGGGTTTTCTGTACATGTGCAATATCATGTCATCTGCGAATAATGACAGTTTTATTTTCTCCTTTCCACTTTGGATGCCTTTTATGTTTTCTTCTTTCTGATCACTGTGGCTAGGATTTCCAGTGCTATTTTGAATAGGAGTGGCAAAAGCAGACATCCCTATCATAAGGGAAATGCTTTTAGTTTTTGCCCATTGAGTGTGATGTTGGTTGTAGGTTTGTCATATGTGGCCTATATTATGTTGAGGGACTAACCCCTCTATTCCCATTTTGCTGAGAGTTTTTATCATAAAGGGGTGCTGGATTTTTAGCTGACTTCATTTTTCCCATTTAAGTATATATGTTACCATGCATTCTCTGAGAACTGTTGGAAAGTCAGTCTCCCATGAGCCTTGAAGTTCCCTGTACATCCTGGGTATGCTTCAAATGCAAAGTTGTCATTATTCTTTACTTGGGCCAATTGTATGTCCCTTGTAACTCAGTTTCTAGGCAAACAGGTGTATAATAATACACATTTTCCAGTTCTCTCAAAACTACTTCATTGTGCTTCAGTGACTTTCCGTTATTGATATGTGCATCTCTGTTTGAGGTTTTTTTCCAGAACCCTATCTATTTGTGGCAGGCTAGAAGTGCTAGGGAATTAGCACTCTTAGGGAGCAGTCTTCAGTGAGTGGCAAGGTAGGTTTATAAATATCTGAGCCCTTCTTCAACTTGGTAGAATAATTCAGGTGGGATATCTCCAGTGTTTCAACATAGTAGCTGACTCAATAGTGCACCTCTAATGATTATCTTCCTTTCCTTGTAACACTTCTATACTCCTTTACTGGTTTTCCCTAAACTACTTGCATTTGGATTCTTGTCCCAGGGTCTGTTTTTAGAGGAGATTCAAACTAAGATAGCATGAATACTTCCTTTCAAAGGGATCTGTATCTTACTTGAGTTTGAGGGTATCTGTAGCCTAACCCCAATTCTTGTCATCATCTAATATCACTAGATCATCTTTTATATGATGCAAAGGAGGATATAAGATTTTTGCTCCCCTCCATAGGTCTATACAGGCCTCTATAAATAACTCTAGGTAAGCAATAACTGCTACCACCAAAGTTGGTTTAAATGGGTTGTTTACTAAAAAAAAAACAAAACAAAATACTTGTTTATGGTAGAACATAGCCAGGTTGTTGCACTAAAACTTCAGTGAGGCCCTAACCCAGCCGTGGGCAAACTACGGCCCGCGGGCCGGATCCGGCCTGTTTGAAATGAATAAAACTAAAAAAAAAAAAAAAAAAAAAGACCGTACCCTTTTATGTAATGATGTTTACTTTGAATTTATATTAGTTCACACAAACACTCCATCCATGCTTTTGTTCTGGCCCTCCGGTCCAGTTTAAGAACCCATTGTGGCCCTCGAGTCAAAAAGTTTGCCCACCCCTGCTAACCGGTTTGGCTCAGTGGATAGAGCGTCAGCCTGCGGACTCAAGGGTCCCAGGTTCGATTCCGGTCAAGGGCATGTACCTTGGTTGCGGGCACATACCCAGTGGGGAGTGTGCAGGAGGCAGCTGATTGATGTTTCTCTCTCACTGATGTTTCTAACTATCCCTCTCCTTTCTTCTCTGTAAAAAAATCAATAAAATATATTAAAAAAAAACAACTTCAGTGAGGCTCAGTGACATAGCAATAAATGAAGTTCAGAAATGACTCAGTTATCTGACTGTAGCACAGCAAGAATTTATTTAGTGGTGTTAGGGTAAACTATGGGGAATCCCTCATTAAGTCTGAAATGGTATCAGTTGCAAAGAGTGAACCCACTATTCAGAGCTGTTCTGACCTGCTGATTCCTCCCTCTGGGGGGATGAGATCCCCCAACTCTGGGTGTTGCCTCCTAGTTATTGCAGCCACTAGTCTATATTCTAATCTCATGTATATTGTTTGCCCTGCTTGCTTTCTGCTTCAAAAGCAAACCAAAGTGAAAGCATTCTGACCCCAAACACTGACCAGCCTGTGTCTGGCCATAAGTAGATGCCACCAATAATCTATGCATCCTCCTTAACATAGTGGACTCTTCAGGTTAACATTTGACAAATCTGAACTCACCTTCCTCCCCAACAACACAGTGATCTAGTAGCATTCAGAATCCTGGGTGATTTTGGTGGTGGAGATGAAGGTTTGAGCTACACATGCCTCTTTCCTGGAGTAACAGGATATGGTGAACCTGCAAGGGCCCAGAGCTTATAGAATACGTCACTCATGTTGGCATTTCCAATATTAGTAGCAGTCAAATACTCAAGCAAAATGCTTTTATAGTCTTTCTTAAAATCATGTTGGGCCGTAACCAGTTTGGCTCAGTGGATAGAGCGTCTGCCTGTGGACTGAAAGGTCCCGGGTTCGATTCCGGTCAAGGGCATGTACCTTGGTTGCAGGCACACCCCCAGTGGGAGGTGTGCAGGAGGCAGCTGATTGATGTTTCTCTCTCATCGATGTTTCTAACTCTCTATCTCTCTCCCTCTCTGTAAAATCAATAAAATATATTTTTTTAAAAAATGATGTTGGGATGGTAATAGGTTAATCCATCTTTTTGTGAGACTCTTTGTCATATTCCCTTTCTGAGTCCTGGGATTTCTTTATATACCTTTCTATTTAGAAGACAGTCTTAAGACAGAGTCTCCAGAAGCACACCTTGAAGCAAGGATTTATTTATATGTCAGTGATTTATTACAGAAGTGTTCCCAAGAGAAATCAGTAAGGAACTGAGAGAAGCAGGAGGGGAAAGGGAGTC